TACTGTTTTGTGAAAACTTGATGTATGAGAGTGTGGGTAGATTTCAAATTTGGATAATAGTATTAGACTACTCGCGTCCTTGACCAGGCTAGGACTTCAACAACCCAGACCAAGTACTCTTAATTATTCTTTTGTGAATGACATTGCTGTAGATGGCTAGTTTTGCTTCTCTTGAACCAACTTTGTGGATTTCACACTTTCTTGCAGTAATATTTTCTATTGTATAATAAACTGTGTTTCCTATAAAAAAGAAGTAAACAAAATAAAGGTGTGCAGGTTTAGGTAATCTTTCTTGCTTAATTTGTTAACTAGAAAGCAGCAGGAAAAAATAAAACAAAATAAAATAAAACAAACTAGCTTTATTACATAAATTTTGTAGGTGTAGCCAAACATAAGAAAGGTAAAGGAAACAGCCTTTCTGTGTTCGAAGAGCAAAAGAAAGCAATTATTCACACACAAAATTTGATGCTACAAAAGGGAAAACAATTAGAGTTGTTCAACAAAATGGCTACTCCCAAAGAAAATGGAGAAGTAATGCCAAATCAACACACTTTCAATATATGGCATTTGTATTAAAATGCATCAGTTTGCACAACGTATCTTATTCGAACAGATGATCTTGATATATAATTGTGAACAAAGTTAAGGGAAGCATAATAGCATATAAGCTCCTACCAGTCAACTACTAACGAGGTCGCACGTCCTGATGCAAAAGATGTAAGGACCTGGTGAAAAAATTAAAATTAAACACACACACACACACACTGATTAGCAAATAGCGAATGAAAACTATCCTTAAATAATGAATGAAATAAATTGTTCCAATTTTCTGTCAGGTCAACAGGAAGGCTAGAATAGGGGCTTACAGCATTTTTGGCAAGAAATAATGCAGGAACTTGATACTTTTCAAACATTATCTCCGCTGTCCTGTTAAAATGTATAATACACAGTGATAAGCTTATAACTAACAAGAAATTTGATAAAGACAAAACGGCAAATTGCGGCAATGAGAAAATGCCACTGAGGAAATGTTGAATTTACTGAAATAAGCAGCACAACTAGTGAAGCATTTAATTTTCAATGCCATTTTTATAGTGTTGGAGATATGACCTGTGTGGGAATATTATTTTATATACTGGAAGTTTAAGGAACCATAAGCTAAATATTACTGAAGCCCACCGCCCATCCCCACTCTAAGCAAGAAAATGGATAGAAAAAATGGTAAAAGGATTGTAAGTGCGGATCATGAAGGAGAGTGG